TATCTTCTTAACATTTCTGACCTGGATTATGCAGTAGCATTCTGTTTTTCTTCAGTCTTTCTGCACGTTACTGCCAGAGTGATCTTTTTAAAAAGCTAATCTGAGTATTTCATTCCCTTGCTTAACATTACTCCTATGGCTCCCTCTGGCATTCAGGATGATGTTCACACCCCTTACCCTTAAGGTGGAATGTAGTTTTCTTCATGATAGGCTGCTTTCTGTTTCTCTGGCCTCATCCCCTAGCACTGCCCTGCCCTTTGCTCTAGCCACAGGAAACTAATGTAGTTTACAGAATGTGGCATGCTGCTAGATCAACCTGAAATGTCCTTCCTTTTCTTGATTCTAACATGGTTGTCAAATTTTATTCCTGTCAACACTACGGAAAGTCTTCCCTGATTTCTCCCCTTTCCCATCTTGTATATGTGGATGCTTCTCTCAGGTTCCATAGAGTACTAGCTTATGGCCTGTCATAACATCATCAAATTATATTTTTAAATTATTGATTGACTTGATTTTGTGTCCCACTAGTATGTAAATTCTTTTGTGACATGAATAATGTATTTTTCCGTTATGTATTCCCATCCTGTAACAGGGCTTAGCATCTAATAGAGATCTGAAATGTTTGAATGAATGAATGAAACTCAGTGGGTATATTCAAGGAATTTTACAATAGTTTATTGATGATCTGAATAGTATTGTGGGTCTGAAGGAGTTACTAAAATTAGCCAAGGAAGATGCCATATACTGTTAAGATGAGATGTGTATAGCTATGATATCCACCCATATCTAAAGGTAAAACAGATTTGCTCATTGAACAGTAATTCAGAACAGTAAACATTTAGCAAACAGATTGACTGGCAAATGTTTAAGCAAAAGAGGGAGTGCATGATTTAAAAAACGGCATGAAATACCCCCACCCAGATTTTTTTGATGTTTATTTTAGAAGAAAGTACTGTTGTATACTTACTATGAAAAATTGGAAACCATAGACCAACCTCCAGTTACATGAATTTGTAGTTTAATTTGTAAAATTAATTAAAATATAAGATTGATTATATGACATTATAACATTTAATAACATTATTTATCAATATACTGAGTAAATTGGCTATTGTTCTAAGTTCTCAGGTCTCAGTATATATGGTTATATTTAGTTTTCAGAAAGTTTTTAGAAATTATTTTTACTTGATTTTTAAAAAGGTAGAATGTACTTTTCCTTCTCTCTTTTGAAAAACTGGCATAAAATCTCAGAGCTTAATCTGGAGTGAAAGCAATAAGAATCAAATTCAAGGATTCCTAGTATTTTACTAAAGAAGAATTGACACAACTTGGGGACTGATGCCAAGACTTTGAGCTTGGGTGCTTGGGACCATGGTGGTACCACTTACAGGAATCAAAAGACCACATTTGAGTGTGAGATTATGGGATTCAGTGAACCACCACCATTGATTTTTTTTTTTTGAAGTAAAGTTTTTAGTGAAGCATCGCCCCCCAAGATTAACAAATCATGTATGTCTGGCTTAGTTTTCAAAAAGATCACCATAGATTTGAAATAGATAGAAGTGGTGAGAGTTTCAAGTGGGAAGAAAGAAACTCAGCCAAGTGAATACATCGAGGAATATAAAAATGGAACTGAGGTTAGAAATAAGGCCAGTGAGCATTTTGAGAGTGTAGTGTAATGCATGACACATGATCTGAGGCAGCAAGGTTATTCCCAGAAAGTAGCACTGGAGACAAAGGTAAAAGCCACTAATATTTGAAGATCAGTTATATGACTATACAAAAACAATATTTTATATGGAAAAGACCATGTATTTCTTCAAAGTAAAAGTCCTGTTTACTCATATTAGTTGCTTATTTGTTCCTTTGATCTACCCTGTTATATAGAGTGGAGCGTAATTAGCAAAGCCCTTTTCATCAGTTCTGTCCTAGGCAGTTTTTATAACTTGATACTTTAGTAAGACTTTTAAGGGGTAAACTCAAACTTCATGTAGGAATTTTTTTTTTATTTGTAGAAATGAGTTAAATGCCAGATATAAAAACTCTGTGTATGAAAATTTGTATTACAAAATTCTATTTCAGACTCTAAAAGTTAAGATGGTCCTGGGATGACATTTACCTCTCATAACAAAGTTGTTTTTAATCTGTATTTTACATGGAAACGCTGACGATTTGGTAGTACTGTTTAAAACATCAGCACATTCACACATGCCAATTTTATTTTTAAAGTACATCTTTTAGATTGACCTCTGTATTTCTAAATTATTGTGTGGTGCATGTTATCCAAGATAATAGGAAGCAGCGGTGCAGTCTAATGGAAAGAACAGTAACTGTGAAGCTAGACAGATACGGTTCTATCACTGTCATGTATTGAATTATGTCCTCACAAAAGATATGTTGAAATCCTTACTCCTAGTACTTGTGAATGTAACTTTATTTGGAAATAGAGTCATTGCAGATGTAATCAAGATGAGGGTATTCAGATGGGCTCCTACCCAGTATGACTGGCGTCCATATAAAAAGAGACAGGCACAGAGGGAAGGTGATGTGAAGACAGAGACAGAGGCAGAATTGTGTAACGGCAGAGGTGGTGTGATACAGCTGCAAACCAACGAACAACAAGGAATGCCGGCCACTGGTGGAAGCTGGCAGGAGGCAAGGACAGATTCTCCCGAGTCTCAGAGGGAGAACAGCCCTGCTGACATCTTGAATTCAGACTTCTAGCCTCCAGAACTGTGAGAGAAGGAAGTTTTCTTGTTCTGAGATGCCCAGTTCCTGGTAAATTGTTTCAGTAGTCCTAGGAAACTAATACAGTCACATACCAGCTGATTGGTTTCGGACAGTCTTTTAACCTCTGAATCTCAATTTTCTCTAAGTAAAAGATTAAGAACTGTTCTGGCATGGAGCAGACATCTGGGAAATAATACCCAGCTTTTCTATTGCTGTCCTTCCTTCAAAGATAGTTTACATTTGTATGTTACCTAATTCATTTCATTTATCATTTCCAAGTGTGAGATTGAGGCTTATTGATTGAATAAGTAGTAAACATCTTTTCTGTGGTTCCCATTCAGATTCTTTTTTTTTAAATTTCATTTATTTATTTTTAAATTGAAGTATAGTCAGTTTATAACATGTCAATTTCTGGTATGCAGCATGTTTCAGTCATACATATACATATGTATATTCCTTTTCATATTCTTTTTCATTATAAATTACTACAAGATATTGAATGTTCTGTACAGAAGAAACTTGTTGTTTATCTATTTTATATATAGTAGTTAGTATCTGCAAATTTTGAACTCTCAATTTATCCCTTCCCAACCCTCTTTAGCCCTGGTCCCATTAGATTCTTTAACTTACAGAAAAATGTAACAGATTTTATATGGCCCATAGAATTTTATTAGGATGTAAAGGATTAAACTTGTTCTGTAGCTATCAGTTTAGAACTAAGCTTTTGATTTTTAAAAAACTAATATTCAAAAATAAAGTAGACTGAATTTAAAAAAAATAAACTGCTAACTTTTAAGAGGCTCTAAATAAGTTAGGTATGTGTCAGCTGAAGAAAAACACACAACCTGAAAGTTGTGAGTTAAGTTTTATTCAGGGATTTTACAGAGGACTATGGTCTGGGAGGCAGCCTCTCAGATAGCTTGAGGAACCACTCCCAAGAGATACAGGAGGAGTCAAGATAATTTTTTGCTGGACTAATCACAAAGAACAGACATCTCAAGTTGTTAATGATTTTAGTGCTTTTCTATATATGGGAAAATGCAAAAGTCTGGGTTCATTGAAATTATCCCTTAGATGTGCATTTAATTAACTAGGGCCAGTATCTAAAGGACTTGGTGATTCCTTGTTTTCTCCGTCCTGTGTTCCCTCAGGGCACACCGTTGGTGGGCAGCGGCAGTGGCTAATGGCTTGAAAAATCCTTGTAGAGTGGGTGACATTCCCTGTCCACATGTGGTTGTTTATTTCTTTTCTCCACCCCCTTTATCTGATGAGTGTTTTTGAGGGGAATTATTCCTTTATTGATGTATTATCTCTTTAAGAAAAAGCATTTGAAATACTGTTGAAATGTTCAGAACTCCAGAATGTCCTGCTGCCTTACTGGGTTGTATTCCTTTTACTTCTCCTCTTACTCTCACGTCCATACCCACCTTCTTTCCTTCCAGGGCCTGGGTTATTTATACAGATTACTTCATGTACCATCTTAGACTCTCAGTGGAAAAACTCGGTGCTGTCTCTCATTTTTGAGCCTTGAGTAAGAAGTAACGTAACTTGCGTTACTTCCTCTGAGGCAAGAACGTGGACAACTGCTCAGCCTTGACAGCCTTTTCTTTTTGCACAAGATCTCAGCGACAAAGCAGAGAAGCCTGCTGCTGTGGTGTCACACCAGTGGCACCAGTGTGACTCACAGAGCTCAAGTATCTGCTCTGGGCACCCAGAGCAAGGTCAGTGCCGTGGCCTGCCCCTCCCCTCGCAGGTGTCCGCCCTGCCTGAAGGTAACTCAGCGGGCCTCCTCGTGGCTGCTGGCGTTGCCATACCTGCTTTGTGCAGCACCGTCGGGGCGAGGGTGCTGCCTCCTGAAGCTACCAGTGCTACCGTTTCTAGGACTTCTAGAACAGTGCTGAAACGGCCTTCTGCACAGCTGTGTCCACATACTGTCACCTGGGCTACAAAGCCACCTCATAGTGGCTCAGGGTCACAAAAGCTACCCCTTTAGCTTCAACTCTGCAGTCTAATTCCACTTTTCTGTTTTCTGAGGCCTACCTTTTCCTTTTCACCGAGTGCCAAATGGACATTGTAGAAGAGTTAACACCTTAACAGAAGAACCCCAGACTGATTCTCAGATCTTTGTTTCTAACTCACAACTTTTTAAGCCCTAAATTCATACGTCTTTTGGGTTTGTCCATGTGCTGAGCCTTCAGATAAAGATAGTCCGTCTTGGTGTCATCTTCCTGTAGATAACAGCCACTCGTCAGCCCTCGTGGAGAAATGAACCGACGACTGGGTTAGGTACGTGTTTCCATCGTACCTGTGCTTTTACCAAGACACGCCTTCCATTTCAGTGACTGTCTTCTGTACTCGACAGCGAGCTCCGTGAGGTTAGATATTGGGCCGAGTCCTATGCCTGGAACATACAAGCACTCAAGTAAAATATTAGGTTAATAGATGATTCTTTCATGATAGGGGATTCGGGAGGAAATGAAAGTCCCATTTCTTAGACTCTTTTTAATCTGTTGTTATACAAGTACTTGATTCGCCTCCTCCGTCTCCATTTCCTTATTTCCTGCAGGACATTTTTAACACTCAGGGTTACTTAGCTCAGAGGCTATGTTGTCAGCAGCAGTAACCAACTCTGGGTACCTTCCACGAGAAAGGAATTTATTAGAGGGAGATTGGGTCGCTCCCACACAACGTGGATGCGAAGTCTAAAGGATCAGGTTTGGAGACTGGTGGGAAGTGAGGGGAGTTTGGAAGCAGAAACAGTGGTTCGGATGCCACAGAGGCTGTCACCGTGATGTCTGTTAGACTACTGCTGTGTCCCTAATCTCGGCACCCCATTCTTGTCTCTGATTTACATGGGGATTAAGTGATTTACATGGAGATTCAGTCTTCTAGTCTCAGTCAAGATTGATCCAGGTCTTCTGCTTTTGTATTGGCTGCCTGGGGTTAGGGAGAGGAAGGAGTCATTTACTACCTTGAGTTCTACAGTGGAGGATGGAGCCCTGCCTCCCTCCAAAAGTCTCAACAAGGAAAATTCCACAATACTTGGAAGTGTGTTTGGATGCCAGGCAGCCTAATAACAGCAAAAACAAACCACACTTACCTCCCAGAGGTTTTTCTTCACTCTCATAGTCTGGAGGTCTTGAGTTTGTATACCATAAAGGATGCTGTGTTCATTGTGTAAGGTGCATAGTATGGTGGAAAGAACCTAGATTTTGGAGAAAGGCAGAGCTGTGTTCAAATTCTTGCTGAGTGAGTGATCTTGGGAAAAATTACTAAACCTTCATAAATGGCAGTTTCCTTGGTTAAAATAAGGAAAATAAGAATAAACTTTGCAGCACTATTGTACATTTTAATGCGGTGATGTATATTTAGTGCTTATAAATGTTAAATGCACTTAGTATATGTTCGATACACATCAGCCAAAAATCCCAGCATGTGGTTCCGGCTCCAGTTTACCTTTGAGTGTTGTCTCATTCCTTCCAGCATGAAAACTCTCCATAAGTCCAGTGTTTATGCTCATTGTCCTTAAATGTACCTGTGCTCTCTACCTGCTTGCTTTCCCATACATCCCCATTTTCCATCCTTCTTTTTTTCTTTCTTTTTCTTTTAAGGGCTCAGTTCAGATCCTTTTTTTCTCTTCAGTACGAAAGTACTGGTCCATCTAGTACTTACTGTTTTCTTGACCAGTCTGTTTAGCACTTAGCATTTATAGTAGTTTTCTTTGTGTTTCTGTGCTGTCTTTGGCAGAGTAGTCGTCTGCAGGGCCAAGGGAGCTGACTTTCTTGCAAAGGAGCAATTTAATAGAAGAAACATTGGGATTGGAGTCAGAAATCCTTGGTTCTGGCATTGCTTATTTATGTTGCCTTGGGGAAGTAAAAGTGTTCTCTTTATGTAAAATGAGGATAACACTACAGGATTTGGGTGAGGATCAGATGAAATATGTGTATAATAGAAGGGACTGTGTCAACTGTATTGGCTATGTATAAGAGGATTACTTTTGTATCTACCTTGTTATGCTGTGTGCATAGTATGGCTTAATATGTTCATGATATATATATATTTTTAACATTACTTCCAGATTTTCCTATAATCAGAAACATACAATTTTTTGTACATTTAAAAAAATGTAATCAAAAGATTGTGGTGAAAAAGTTATAGCTACCCTTTGATTTTTGTAAAAGTATAATTTAATATTCAGCAATAATTCTTGGTTCCAATAAAATGTTCAGTTTTAATATACTGTAGTATAATTTATTGGATTTCATATTCCATCATATTAATTATTTTTGTTCAATTAAATAAAGAATATATATCTTTGCTTAATAATAACTGATGATCTTTCTTTCGTCCTTTGCCCTGGAAACTAATTTGAAAGAGTGGTTTAAGAGGTTTCTGTTCAAAGGCAAACAATATAGTAATATGCCCAGCTGTTAGGTTTTTTTTTTAATCCTTAAATTAATCTTAGAAGAGAAAGAAAATGTGCAGATATTTTTCAATTATTTTATTTAAAAATTTTAATATACTTTAATATTGATTTTTAAATATAGTTCACTTTTCTAGGTTCTTTCTTTTCTTTCATTTTGTCAAAATCATAAAATTTGGCTTTTAAGTGGAATATTGTGCATGGATAGGTTCTAGGGTAGAAAGCTGTGGCCCAACAGATTTAGGGAAAAATTATATGTACCTTGCCTTCATTTAGGAGATCTGTGTTTTTTTTTTTACTTGTTTTAATTATATACCTAGCTACTCTTTGATATTTGCAGTGAATAAAAATATTTCTCTACACAAAGTTTCATGAGTAAATAGGCTTTTGATGGGGAGCATTTCAATAGGTTATATCAGAATTTGACAAAACCAAGCTTTATAAAACAGTTTTGTGGTTTTGAAAAGCAATTAGATGTTGTAACTTGATGCTCTGTTTTCTATATATAGATTTTAACCTTATAATGATAATAAAAAAGAAATTGGACATTTATATGTAAAGTTTAACTGTTCAGTTTCAGAAATACAAACTAGATGGCTTTTTTTTTACTTTATTAAGGTAAAGATAATTAGGATTGCTCATCATTAAATTCTAATTTTTCAAAAGAGTAATAAGATAAGCCATAGACTGGGAGAAAATATTGTTAAAAGATATATCTGGTAAAGGACTGTTGTCCAAAAAATACAAGGAACTCAGCAGTAAAAAAAATGAACAACCCTATTAAAAAAATGGGCACAAGACCTCATAAGATATGTCACCAAAGGAGATAGACCATATCTCAAGTATCATGGACTAGGTGGCTTAAACCACAGATGACTCGTTTCTCACCGTTCTTGAGGCAGGGATGTCCAAGGTCCTGGTGCTGATCAATTCAGTTCCTGTTGAGGCCTCTCTTTCTGGTTTCCAGATGGCTGCCTACTTGCTGTGTCCTCACCATGGCAGAAAGAGAAAGAGCTCTGATTTCTTTTCTTCTTTTTATTAGGGACACTGATCTCATCATGGGGCCCCACCCTCATGACCTCATCTAAATCTAATTATCTCTCAAAGGCCCACCTCCAAATGCCATGACATTGGGAGTTAGAGCTTCAACATATGAATTTTTTGGGGACGCAAACATTCGGTTCATACATTCCGCCCCATGCTCCTCAAATTCATGTCCTTCTTGCTGTAAAATAGTTTCATTCCATCCCATCAGCCCCAAAAGTCTCAACTTCTTCCAGTATCAACTCTAAAGTCTAAAGTCTCTTCTGAATATCATTTTAATCAGATATTGGTATGATTAATCCTGAGGCAAAATTTCCACCTGTGAACCAATGGAACCAGATGTGCTTCCAGAATACAGTGGAGAGACAGACATACGTATACATACTTGAATTTGAAAGGGGAGAAAATGGAAAGGAAGAAAGGGGTGGTGAGTTCCAAACAAGTCTCCAAAACCTAGCAAGACAAATATCATCACATTTTAAGTCTTGAGAATAATCCTCTGGTTTAATGCTCAGCTTTCAGGGCCCATTGGGGCAGAAGTCCTGCCCCAAGGCTCTGGGTTGCTGCTATCTGATCTGTTGACTCTTCCCCCAGTATGAACTGGGGATGTAGTCCTGCTGGGCTCTGAATCATCTTTGGGGTTATTCTTCCCTTGTCTTGAAGAATAAATAATGCATCATGTAGCCGAATGGCTCTATGGTCCAGTACTTGTCCTTGAATGCCAGAGACAGAGAAGGAGAGCTCTGGCGGAGTACAGAGGGTTTCTTAGGCAGTGAAACTATTCTGTATGATACTGTGATGGTGTATGTATGTCATATACATTTGTCAAAACCTATGGAGTATGCAACACCAGGAATGAATCTTAACCTATGGCCTTTGGGTGATAATGATGTATCATTCTAGGGTCATCATCTGTAACAAGTGTATTACTCTGGTGGGGGATACTGATAATCAGGGAGGTGGTGTATGTGCAGGTGTAGGGAGTAAATGGGAAGTCTGACCTTCCACTCAGCTGTGCTGTGAATCTCGAACTACTCTAAAGAATAGAATCTATTTAAAAAATTCTTACAATGGAAAAAATTTCTCATTTTAGCTGTCAGGCCAGGTCTTCTGACATCAGCTGGTGTACTGCAGTTCCCTTCTGACACCACCCTGGGTTAGCGTCAGACTCCCCAGGTTACAGGGGCATGGTCCCCAACAACATACTTCAGCACCACTTCACACGCCACCTGCAAGCCAGATCCCTGGGCTCTCCGTTCTTCTGGCCAACTAGCTACAAATCCGGGGTGGGGGGTGGTCCCAAGCCCCCCTTGCCCAGACTGCCCTTACTTCAGATGCCAGTTGCAAGTTCAGAGGTCACCAGGCCACCTGCACTTCTGACCAACTGCCTATAAATCTGGGAGGTTCCTGTAACTTCTCTCAGGTTTGATAATGTGCTAGAATGACTCCCAGAACTCAGTAATGTGCTAGATTTAAATTATAGTTCTACTATAAATGATAGAAATTAGCACCAGCTAAACGAAGGGACACATAAGGCGAGGTCTGGGAGGGTCCTGAATGCAGAGCTTCGTGCCCTCTCCCCGTGGAATCAGAGTGCGTCGGGGGGTTCACCAGCCAGGAAGCGCTCCAGTTTTCATTGAGATTTCATGTTGTATATTAAACATTGGCCACAGATGGAACTAAATTTCCAGCTTTCTTCCTCTTCCCAGAGGTTAGGTTGGGCCAAAGGCCCTAATCACGTCTTTCTGGTGACCAGCCGCTACCCTGAACCATCTCCTTAACATAAGCTCTAGTGTGAATCACAGGGCTTATCAAAAACACATATGCTTCTATCAACAGGGAAGTGTCAAGGCATTTAGATGCTCCCTGACAGGAGCCTAAAACAAAGATGAGAGATTCTTTATTATTTAACACTAGGTTTTAAAAACTGGTAGCCCTTGAGAAACCTAATAGTTTTTTTTGTTTGTTTGTTTGTTTTTTAATTTGAAAATTACCACCGAGGTGACCGAGAAGTATCTATGATTGGAAGATTGAAGAGCAGTACTGATTTACTGATTTCTGTACTATTATGGTATTTTAATTGTTTAGACTTGATAGCTCTTTAAATCTTTATACATCATGCAGTTTAAATTTTATATTTATGATTTTATGCATAAATGTACTTCTTTTGGTAAAAATAGAGGAGCTTACTTGGAAGGATGAGCCAGTAGAACAACAGGTCGCTTTCCAGTTTTTACTGCCTCACACTGTCAAAATACACAGACGACCTTATAAAAAGTTTTCTTTCTGGGCTGTGGTTGTTCCATTGGCTCATTTTTCCCTCTGATAGCAAATTATTTCGCAGTGTATCTTTTCCAAGGAAGTGTGCTTAGTTACATTTTTCTCTTGCAGATTGATTATACCGGAACAGACCCTTCCAGTCCCTGCAATAAATGTTTGTCTCCGAATGAGACACCGTGTGTTTGTACCATTAACTTCACACTGGAACAGTCATTTGAGGTCTGTATTCCCAAGTAATGTATTATAAAAGCCATGCTTTTAACCATACTGATTTTACATTAAAATTTTTTTCACTAATTCTTTTCTTTTCTTTTTTTTTTTTTTGAGATGTTGCTTTAATTTACTGGGAGTGTATATATTTTGGGGAAGATTGTTTTGTTTGGCTATTGCATCTCACTGTTTGATAATTAACTACATGTATTTAAATAGCTTATTGTAGTTAGTACTTTATAAACTAAATTTTAAACCTATTTTATACTTTTGCTGGAAAATTTTATAACTGTAAAAATTAATTTTGTATGAAGTTTATATGTACATCTACTTGTATTTTAAAATTATTGCTCAAATTATTTTGCTTACCTATTACTTAAACAAGTTTTACTTTAGGTAAAATAAATATTAATTCACCC